TTGTCTCCTAAGCTCATTGGAGAGACTCTTAAGATTCCCAACCTGCAAAAGCCAGAGGAGGATAAGAAGAGGAGGTATTTATGTGTGTATTTTATTGAATCATTCATATTCAATTGATCTATGTATTTTTGTTGTTTTGCAAAAATATGATTAGATTTATGATATCCAGGCCTTATTAGTTTATTTGTGGATTTTTCCAAAAATAAAAATAGAATAATTATAAAAACAATTTATTTTATGTCTTAAATGATTTATATCAGTAATTTATAAGACCCATTGGTCTAAGAACAATTTGTCAAAATGATATTTTTCTTAATTTTTTGGCAATTTATATAAATAAAAATAATAAAAATAAAAGTAATTACATTAGTATTTAATGACTATTAATTGAAAATTCTAAATTGTATATTATATGTATCTTAGAAATTCTAAATGGATCTTTTATATTTTTAAACTAAAATTACATATTTTTAATCCACAATAAATAATTAAAGAAACATATTGATCATTTAAAGAAATAATAATTATTATTATTTATTAAAAATGTTAAATAAGTAAGAATTTTTTATTAATAAATTGTGTGATATTTACATGTACAAAACTCCTGATATTGTTGATGTAATGTATTTTTTGTATAAACTATAGAAACATGCATTTATCATGTATGTATGCCCTACTAAGGTGCTAGCTAGCCTATTGGGTAGGGATGTGGGAACAACTTGTGGGTAACAGATCCAAGCCCATACCTAAGAGCTTTAGGTGTGGTCTATGTATAAAACCTAAAGGTGGAGCCTATTTAAGGGATCTATTTTTCAATGGTATTTTCTCTGTTAGAAATAAATAATGACAAATGAAAAGGTCGTATTTTTTTTCTTATATTCTTTTTAACGGAGAAGGTGATTAATAGCTGCTAAAAGATGTAAAGATGTTAAACTTGAAAATGACTTATATCTAAGGGTATTATTGGCACACAAAATTTTTAGGATTAACATGTCATCCCAATGCTCATAAGGCCATACTTTTTTTTTTTTTACTGAAAACAAGGCCACACTTAATTATTCGGACAATAAATATTGGTCATTGAGGGTATCCTTGACACAAAAAATTTTAGGGTGTTGAGGTGAGGTTTTAATAAACAGATGAAATAAAAACATCGGTACCGGTATAATAAAATTGTTAAATAATTTTTATCCACTTGCAATTACATATAAACCATTTAGTTCAAATAAAGAAATTGTATATGATGGAAAATATTCGTTAGGTTTCCTTTTATATCCTATTTAAATTGACCAAAATACCCACATAACATTATATTCAAAAGTTTCACATAGCATTTGGGCCAGGGACTTGACAGAACAACCCCCCCCCCCCCYCCCTTTGAGTAGTTTTAATTCATTTATATATTAGGATCATGGTTTAAAGTATCGATATATATCTTTTGAAAAAGATACGCGTCGAAACGCCTGTTTTCAGGTGTTTCGGAACCCCAACTTTCTTTAATAATAAAAAACATGTTTTTAGCTTTCCAAAAAACCAAACTTTGAAAAAATCTGAGAAAAAATAGAGTTTCAGTTGTTTCTAAATACTGATACGATACTGCTGATATGCGTATCGTATCGATACTTTGAACCTTGATTAGGATATATTGAAAAGTTAGAATATCTGCAAAATGAATAAATGGATTATTTTATTAAGCTAAATAAACAAATAAATATGGATACCAATATCAAAATTGCTATAAAATAAATTATTTGTAAACTTAAATGTATAAAATATTATTAATAATCTTCGTATGTATGTATGTATATATTATTTAATTTATATGGAGAAGATTATAAACATAAAACAAAAATATGTTCAGCTCGGCTTGACTAAAATACTAATATGTTCGAGTTTGAGCTCAAGTTCAACTCAAATTATAATTTCTAGCTCAAGCTCAATTTGATTAAATATTCAATGAGCTCAAGTTTGGCTCGAAAGCTCGAAAATAAATATTATATATATATATGATATTACATAGTATATTCTTATATTATATAAAATATAAAAATGTATTTTTATACTCTATAATATATGTACATATGTATGTATGTGTTAATTGAGCCAAACTCGTGAGCTTTTCAACCAAACTTTTTATTGGTCAAGCTTGAGCTTAATTGAATAACTAATCGAGCTTACTCCAAGGTTCAAACTCAATTCAAAATCGATTAGAATTGAACTTGAATAAAGCCTAATTGTATTCGAGCTAGAACTACTCAATTAGAGCTCAATTCGATTGCAACTTTAGGCTAAGTATCATTCCCCGCTTTCCATGTAGTGGTAGTTTTCTACAATTTACCCAACACAATTCATCCTTTCTTTTCCGTCCATCTTACTCTTCCAAAACAGATGCATTGCTGGTGCACAACAACTTTCACACTAGCACTCAATCCATTGCTTATCGTCCATGATGAAAAATGGATGCACTAGCACACTATGTCGAGTGGCATCATTGTTTGCTTCATATTTCAATCACTAAGGTGTCATTTGGCAAGTCATTTTTAAAAGATCTCCCAAAAGATCTGATAGCCAAAAGACAAAGTGAGCTTTAAAATAATGACCTTGGCAGCCCAAAGATCATTTGGTTGGAGGTGCATCCTTCCGCATGAAAATGAGACTTGAGTAGGCGAAAAAAGGCAAGAAGCTCCATTTCTAGCTTCCTAAAATAAGCTCGAATCAAATTTTTTGCATCTTTTCGGGGCATGTCTTTCGGTGGAAAGATCTTCCCCCAACCAAACGGAGAAAGACTGAAAAACGAGTTGCTAGGCTTCTAAAAAACTGATAGCCCATGTTGAAGATGCACCAAACATGACCTAAGTCTTCCCTATCGATCTGTCTATTTGTTGGAGATAACAGAACTCTCTCTCTCTCTCTCTCTCTAGGATTTTCTTTCTTATCTCCTTCCCTCTTCCTCCTAACCTTCAAGTTTTCTATGATTCATAACCTAAATCCCCGAATCTTGTAATTAGTAGCCAGCAAATAGCAAGCCCCCCAAATTCAGGTCTATGCATCCAAAGGATGCACCAAGTTAATTCCCAATTTCAGACTCAATCAAATATATAGATCCCATCTAATGAACAACAGGAAGAAACAAATCTTTTAAGTTACAATGATGGTGTTCGATATGGCTTCCATTTATTTGATAAACGGTGCCATGTAGGTATTTGTCCCATTATGCTATTTCGTACGCCTTGCAGTCTTATATATGGAAGTTTTAATGTTTCCCCCAACATAAAATTATTTATTTACTATTCCACTTATGTGGTGCCTAGTGGTGTCTAGCTGTCAACAAATGCCAGAAAAATATTTGTCAACCACTTTTTCTTGATTTTGAAGGCAAATCAAGTGCAAACATTTATTCAATAAACGAAAGCTATACCAAACATGTACAACATTGGCAGACATAGATGATGACCAAATTTTATGGAAGTAAACAAGCTCTCAGGGTTGTATTTAGTTAAGTCTAGCATATCAATCTCTCATGGCAAAGTACCCAACTTCTTCTAGTGTATGTTTGATTCCATGGGCATTTATTGAAAAAACATCACCACATCAATGCCACATAGGCATTGGTTTTTATTGTATAAGAAACCGCTGTTTAGTTTCACCATTTATCAAATAAATACTAGAAAATTGAAATGATTTAATTTATGTGCATGGGGCATTTGAGAAAACATCAAATTCATGTTTTCCCCAATGCTTGGGCATTTCTTGAAATGAGATGATGATGTGGCACACTTTATTGAAGTGGAAAGCAACTTTATGGGGTGTTGCTTGAAATGCACATAAAACGTCCAAGCTAATAATAAAAGCAAAAAACCATTTAAAGTAGCATTTTTCAGATAAACATTTATATAAAAAAAAACCTCTCAAGAAACGCCTACAGAACCAAACATATGCCTAGTCAACCATAAACTGGCCGTGGGTGAGATCTGAAAAGCAAGATTCCCATACAGGGTTTCTCCTATGATAAGTGAATAATTTATTGGGGTGGAAGTATACTTAACAAAAGGTAAAATAAAATTCATATAAGAAGAAACAAAGTGCATGTTATTCAAGCACAACAAATCATTTATTAGCATTTGTAGTTGTATGCAAGGTTCAAAGCATCGAAACAATATCGTATCATATCTTTTGGTCTAGATACACCTATTTACAAGTGTTTCGGGCCATTTATTTCAATAAAAACACTTAAAAATCATCTCTAAAATTCAAGTTTTGAAAAAAAAAAACTAAAAAAAAAAAGCATTGAGCGGTGAGTTTTTACTTTTTAGTACCGATACGCCCCTGTCGATACATAGGGGCATACCGATGCTTTGAACCATGGTTGTATGTGAATTGGTGTTATGATCAATACACTAATGCAAGTAATATAAAAAGGAGAAAAAAAAAACGTGAGGTATGGCAGGGGACAACGTCCGAGGTATAAAACAATGGAGACTTTAAGATTAGGAGGATGCTTGAACTTTTCATCTTTTATCAAAATTTGGATGGTTGATAAAAAAAATTTGTTGACTTTTGAAGAGTATTTAAGTCTTTTCAAATGTCACTTAATGGTTGATTAAGAGAATGATTAATGATAGGTACTTACTACTTAGTTGGCATGTTTTAAAAATTTGGGGTTTTTATAATTCAATCCACCCCTAGGGTTGAGCTAAGATTTCTAGGGGTGGATTGAATTCTAACCGTGGATTGATGCCAAATTCACAGGCAAGATGCAGTTTATATGGGAATGCAATTTATTCCTAAAAATTTAGGTATTGAATTGTTGCATTTTTAAAGTTTGAGACTTAAATAACATGTAATAATCGAAAATTTTCCCTAATAATAATTTTGCTGTATAAAATATATATAAATTCTTTTTTTTTTTTAACAATTGGTGTATAAATTCAGGTGAAACGTATTTCGGATTTACTTCAACCTGAGTATCTGATTTCTCCTCCATGCATCCACAGAGAAGTCATCGCCATTTGCCACGTGGAAACCTCTAAAACCATATCTAAATAAAAAACCAACAGCCGGGTAGCAACAATAGCAATCCAATTTCTCTCTCACGCACCTGTAATTCTGTAAATAATATCTAATCTAATCGCTACTCAATCCCTCACACTCTATCCACAACTATTATCTGCCATTTTAAAACCACCAGAATTTTAGTGAGAAGGAGAGCTACACACAGAGAGAAGCAAAACAGAACATATGGCGAAGGAGAGTGAAGGAATGTTCCTCTCTGTATACTCTGTTCTTATTCCTTCTTCCTTTGAATTTCTACTTCTCAGTGTTCTCACCCCCTGAAAGGCTGAAACTCGATCCAAGGCAGAAAGACAATAATGGCGCTTCCTCAACTAGTACCTTCCTCACCTTCTGGTCTCTCTTGCAAACCTTCTCTAAACCCTAGTTCCTCCTTAAGCCCCAACCATGGACGCATTTCCAGATCATCTTCACCACAACCCCAAGAACCACCGCGAACCAAAACCCTAGCTTCTCTTCGCCGCCGGAAACCTAATCTCCTCCGCTGCTCTGCTTCCTCGTTCTCTGAGAAACACCACACCGGCTCACCCAAATCCGACGACCTTGTCGAACTCCCCCTCTTCCCTCTCCCACTCGTCCTCTTTCCCGGCGCCATCCTTCCCTTGCAAATCTTCGAATTCCGGTACCGCATGATGATGCACACTCTTCTCCAGACCGATCTCCGCTTCGGCGTCATCTACTCCGACTCCGCCACCGGAACCGCCGAGGTCGGTTGCGTCGGCGAGGTCGTCAAGCACGAGCGCCTGGTCGACGATAGATTCTTCCTCATCTGCAAAGGCCAGGAGCGATTCCGCGTCACCAATCTCGTCCGAACCAAGCCTTATTTGGTTGCCCAGGTTACGTGGTTGGAAGATCGGCCTTCCGGTGATGGGCAGGACGATTTAGAGGCGTTGGCCAATGAGGTGGAGACCCATATGAAGGACGTAATCCGATTGTCGAACCGATTGAATGGGAAGCCCGAGAAAGAAGCCCAGGATTTGAGGAGGAATTTGTTTCCTACTCCTTTCTCGTTCTTTGTAGGAAGTACATTCGAAGGGGCGCCCAGAGAACAGCAGGCGTTGTTGGAATTGGAGGACACGGCAACCAGATTGAAAAGGGAGAAGGAAACCTTGAGAAATACGCTCAATTACTTGACTGCTGCATCGGCGGTGAAGGACGTGTTTCCGTCGTCGTGAATTATGGTGGGCAGGGATGGGAATGGGAAGGGTAGGCCAGGAGATGAAAGAGAAGAGACGGCACACGGAGGAAGAGAGGAGATATGGTACGATGCATAGATTTTATCAGAACTGGTTCTATTATAAGACTGTAAATTTTGATGCGTAGCTCTGATTTGCCTTCAGCGCATCGTCTCTCTGTTTAATTCATCTGGGCTTTCTCTCTTTCAATGATAATAACTGTTTGTATTTATATACTTGCTGATACACGGATTGTATTGTTTCCATGCTCTAAGCTCGGGAGTCTGGTTTGGGTATAAACCTGTGCCATTGTCCCATTGGATTGGATGTTTCTTTTGAATTTTAAGTTGAATATATAACAGAAGGGTAGCTGTTCAGTTTTCAGTTTTGACTTGCAGAGTATAAAAGCCTCTATCTCTCTCAACTACAGATGTATCTATCTACTGATTAAATTCTTATCTATATTGGTAATAAGAAGCACATCTGTTTATACCATGGAACTTAAGTTTCGAGTTTCAACCACTCTGGATTAGATTTTGCCATGTTCCCAACTCGGTTTACATGGAGATGGAGCCTGTAAACATAGATACTGATTCAACCTTTATTGTTTCAATGATTTCACCAACCAAATTGTTTAATGAATTAATGATGGTCACGACTCACGAATAGGCATAGGCCTGTTGAATTTTGCATTCATTCTGGCAAATTTGCTCTGCCAGCTGATCACTCGGCCATAATAGGAGCTTTTTGAGTTCACTGAAGGAAACTTTGTACTTGTTCCATTGTATGGTGGGCTCCAAATTTGAATTAGCTGCTTTTACATCAGTTGCCACTTACTATTACTATCCTGTGGTGGTTAGAATTTGAAATGATGATTGGTTGTTGATTGTTTTGAGTTTTCCTTTTTCATAAATGTAGAAAAAGGTCCAAAAATCCTTTTCGTTGTTTGTTAAGAATTTGATCCTGGGAAAACTGGTTGAACTTTTTGGAATTTTCTAGTTTTGCAAATCCTTCAAGATTTTCGCTTCTAATGAAGGTAGAGGTTGGTCAGCAATGGGTATCACCGGGAAGGCGGATTCTAATGAGGAACAAGCCACAAGGCACTGTCCTCATTAGATGGCCTTAGGGGTTGTTTCTCTCTTCTGTCGGAGGCCCTCTGAACCAGTGGAAGGGGATTCTGCAAATGCCCTTAGGAAGGGAAAAGGTCCCTCACTGGCTGACTCCTTGCCTCCTTGGGGGCATTGGTGCCTTGGTGGATTCTGAAGCTAATAAGCAATACTTGGACGGTGGCCATAAGTTCTATTTAAGCAATTCAGCTCTTTGAGAGCTCTGAAAATGTTGCTTTAATTAGATGAAGTGCAGACATTTGATCTTGCTGAATTTTATTATTATTATTATTTTTGAGTTTTGGTGTAAGCCTGATCTCTCAGGTGGGTTTCATTCCATTCCCATCCAATTATGGGTCCTGATAATTGAACATAGCTTCCGTATAAAGAAATTTCGAGCAGTGGAGTGGCCTGCGATGCCAACATCAAAGGCGATGATTTATGGCTGCGTACTTTAACATGGAAGAAATTACTAGGTTGTGATTGTCTACAAAACGGCAAAATCTAACTAATAAGCATATGTGAATATGACCATCCAAGTAGCTTCAGACGAATAATCTGCCATCCAAACAGGTGGCATGTCACAGATCAAATGATGATCTTAACATCCAAAATAATCAAATCTTGTTGTGCCCAATCTGGAATACCATTCTCAGTAATGATCTTGATAGGCAAAAAGGAATATCAAATTTGGCTTTTATAAGAACCCTGCATTTTCAAAATATTATCGTTCCGTTGCCGGGACTCGAACCCGGGTCTCTCGGGTGAGAGCCGAGTATCCTAACCAACTAGACTACAACGGAAGTCATGGTTCAGTTTCTAACCATTTATATAAATATTGTTTATTTGAAACATTTAATGGCAACGTGGTGCTTCTATGTACGGCTAAGTAATTCTCACCCAAACTTGTTCAAAATAGAAATTCAAGCTAATCTCCGATGCCCAATTTTCCTCAAAGTCATATAACCCCATTTATTTCCTTGAGTTACATCACTAAGGGGGCATTGAATTGTTTTTCTTGTTACTAGTTCCAAATCCATTTGGTTTGGAAATGCATTAGTTCTCACTCCTCAAGACAAAACATAAATTATGTTTTTTTTTATTGAAAATGCCTTGTACTTTGGTCATAATGTGGTTCCTAATTTTAAAATGTGATAATTCAGTATCCAAACTTTCAAAATGTGAATTGATGAATGTTTTGGAAATCAAACCTTAGGTCGATTTGACCAAGTTTTGGTCTAATCTTGTTAGATTAAAGCAAAATTGATTTTAGGCCAGAGGTTTGATGGCCCATTGCATGGACCAATTCGGCCCATACTTGAAAAACCCTTTTATGTTAGATTAAAGCAAGACTAATCCATTTCAGCATGAACTGTTATATGAGCCGAACTGTTTTTTGTAGTTTAGCCCATATGGCAAGAAAAAATTATGGATAATTTCGTCCATTGAGGGCTGATCATGTGTTAATCTAAATGGATATGGGTTTTACTAGTTTTGAAATGATATTGATCAATTATGTATGTGTATGAGATATGTTGAATGGATGTGATTCGTTCATGGGCCATAAGTGATTGTCCCATGTATTCACTTATATAGCTCTCCATAAATATCATGGCTGAATACACATCATTGCCATGATGCCCATGGATCATTGCATGATCTCCCTTTCTAATGGGCCCCTTAATAGCTTCCTCCCCAAGAGGAACCCTAACCCATTAAGAACCCATTTGAATATGACTTTATGAAAGTCAGTGAGAGCCACTATGGTATGACCTAAATCTGACCTAGGGATTGATATACACGTTTTCTCATGATTAATATAAGTGCAATGAGATAGGAAATATCATAAATTGATATCTCTTAAAGCATTTCATCATTAATATGAAAACGAGCTTAATAGATGGGTGGAGATGCATCATAAAATTGGGATATCCATTTCACTGAGACAGTCGGTAGAATTGTTTCATGAGATAATATGGGTGCCATAATCTAGTGGGAGTGGTCTATCCTAAAATGAAGACTCTTCCATGGTACCTTGGGGCTCCCGATATGACGGGTCTACACTTACCAATTAAAAAGGTTTAACATAAAATGACAATGAATCTTGTCTAGTGAAGGCCAAAGGGAAAGCTCATTGATGGGTGGATATGTGATCAATCACAGAAAGTGGTGAGGTTATGTAGTTGAAACAATTGGCATCATGAATCTATGTAATTTCCCACATTTCTAGGGACATGAACTATATTCTTGTCATTGAGATAGGAGGGAAATCTCAAAGATGAACAAATGGAGATGAAACATAAATAAAAATCAATTCTATGAAAAATAGTATGAAACAATATTAAGGTCATGGACTAATTAATTGTGCCTTTTATCAGAAATGGCATATGAACGATTTTCTAAATTGTTAAACAGCAATAAATTGAAAGGACACAATTATGCAAACTGATTTCGTAACCTAAACATGGTGCTCGCATCCGAGAAATTGGATAATGTTGCCAAAATCCCAGCACTGGAACATCCGGGTGGAAAGGGCTTCTAAGGCAAGAAGGAGGAAATATCAGAAATGAGAAGAGAAAAATTTTCTTGCTCGGTTTTATGTCATAGCCTCCTTGGATAATTCTATTCAAAGATAGTTTGACAAAATTGATATCTATAAAGATATCCTGAATAGTCTTAAAACTATGTATAAGGAACAAAATCGTTCTACAAGACAAAATGTCCTCAAACTATTGATGACCACAAGGATGACCAAGAGCCAACTAGTTCATGACCATGTCATACATATGATAGGTTATATAAATGAATTGAAGACTCTTGGCTCCCAACTTGATGATGACATTAAGATCGATGCCATCCTGAACTCTCTACCCTCGTTCTTTAATCAATTTGTCATGAACTACAATAAAAGTTAGCTCGTAGGAGCTCAACAATATGTTGCAAAAAGATGAAGAATTGATTAAGAAGGATAATCCGGTAGCCATGCTTGTTGTAGGTGGAAAATCTTACAAAAAGAAAAATAAGGGTAAAAAGAAGCCTCAAAAAAAGAGAGGCAAACCGAAAAAGTAGAAGAGACACAAGTCATCTAATGAATGTCACTTTTGCAAGTAGACTGGGCACTGGAAAAACAATTGTCCTTAGTATATGAAATTCTACAAGAACAAATAAGGTAATTTTGAATCTCTTGTCATAGAAACCAATATGTTAGTCACTTCTGCATCCTAGTGTATTGACTATGGGGCTTTCACTCATGCATATAATACATTGTAGGGGTTCAAGGAAAGTAGAAGGTTGAATGATGATGAGGTTGTGCTTTACTTGGGGACGACTGCAAGTGTTGCATCTACTGTTATAGGAGCAGTAGATTTAATTTTTAGAGAATGAATTGTTATATTAAAATATTGCCTTTATATGTACCTTTACTTAGAAGAAATCTGATTTCAATTTCTAAGTTGTGTAAGGATGGATATTCTATTTTATTTAGTAATAAGATTATAATTAATTTGAATAACAAATTCCTTACTTAGAGAACTTGAAAATGGTCTTTATGTTCTCCATCTTTCTTTAGAAACAAATGTGACCGAAATTGTACCGGAACACCTCCCCAAGAAAAGAACACATTATACAATTAATCCTACATGCCTGTGGCATTGCCTCCAAGGCAAGATGGCAGAAGGGCCATTTACAAGTAAGCCTGGAAGAACTACAGGCACACTCAACCTTACACATACTGATGTATGTGGTCCTATGAATGTCAAGACACAGAACCAACATTATTATTTCATAACTTTTATCGATGATTATTCTTGATATAGTTACATGTACCTAATAAAACATCAGTTTGAATCATTTGAAAAATTCAAGGAGTTTAGACAAAAGGTCGAGAAATACTTTAGGAGACAAATCAAAGCCCTCCGATCAGATTAAGGAAGTAAATATCTCTTCAACGAATTCAAGGACTACTTAAAGGACAATGAGATTATACCACAGTTGTCTCCTCCTGTTACACCATAATTAAATAGTGTGTCAAAGAGAAGAAATTTGACTTTATTAGATATGGTCCGATTATTTCTCATCCATTTAAAGTTACCCATATCCTTTTAGGGGCATGCATTGGAGACTACAATTTATGTGTTGAACCGAGTTCCAACCAAGTCAGTTCCTAAGACTCTTTTCGAGCTATGGATCAATAAGAAACCAAGTATAGGACACTTGAAAATATAGGATTGTCCAACACACATTATAAAGACAAGTGCAAACAAATTAGAATCCAAAACT